TTAGAATCAAAGCAACAGGTAAAATAACCAACAAACCCAAGACCCAAAGTGTTAATTTTTATCCAAAAGCAATTATAAAGTAAGGGGAAATCTCATCATCTTGAAACTTTTATTAAAGTATTTCATTGTCAATATCTTCATTGACTTTTTTTTCATCAATAATATAATCTCCAATATTAGGAATAAACTGATTAAATTCATCAATATCTCCAGATGCTACTTTAATATAATTCGAAAATAACTCAACATTTTTTGGGAAATCTATATTCATATACAATAAAAAGTTGAAAACTTAGAGAGCATGCACCAATCCCCATAGGAATTACATTGATGAATTTAGAAGAACTTTTAATGCAATGTTGAAGCTAAAAACTGATAAGAAGGTATATTTCAAAGACTGGCCTCCATTTTTCACTGTTTATTATTCAATTGGGCTCAAATAAATAAATGGGTACGGATTAACTGATGCAAAAGAATCGTAAGTCACAGAGTTCTCTGATAAGTCAGTAATTAAGGAATAGTTTTTTAAAGAAATTTTTATATTCTCCGTTCCTTCCAGAGACGTTTTTAGGTCCTATAATTTAATCTAAAATCTTTATATAATTCTGCCTGGCACTAAAGGATTTTTTGGATCTTCAATAATCCTCCAATCAAATATATATTCAGATTTAGTTCCCTCTATTTTAATATCTAGATTATCAAGTGATAATGCAGATGCTTCAGATAGTTTTACAGCTTCTGAAAATTCTAAATAAATCAAATTTAATGGTGTTATAGTCCTAACAAATAAATTCGGTGATATTATTTCTTTGCAAGTTGTATTAGGAGCTGGACAAGAATATCCATATTCAATTAAGCAATCCTAGCTACATCCATCTCCACTATTAAAATTACCATCATCGCATTACTTATCTCTTACAATACCATCTCCACATATATCTTCGCACTCTAATTCCTCATTCATGAAATACCCAACTTAAGTTTCACATGATGCACAACTAAATGCTTATTCATCAAAAATGTTTCCTGAATAGCACTAAATACAATCATTTGAAGCTGGTCCAACACATTTTCTGCAGGATTAATGACACAATTAACACTCTCCAGTATGAATTCCACCAGTTAATTCATTATACCATTCAAAATATTTTCCATCTACACATTTAGGGACTCTACATTCGTTTCTAATAAAGTAATAGCCTACTTTAACCAATAATCCTTTTTCATTTAAATTAAAACTTTCTGTGCAATTATAGCATTGCAGTGTTGAAGGGCCATAGCAAGAATTACAACTAGCTGCACAAACTAATTAAAAATTTTAATTAAGTTAGAATTTATTTACCTTTACAAGTATTAGAAACCTTGTCATTGTAATAGCCAATAGGGCATTATTTGTAGCAACCTTAATTAAGATAGAAATGGCCTTTTTAGCATCTCTAGCAATATTTTTGAGGGTCTGATCCTGTGCATTAAATACATTCTTTTGGGCAAGGTGAACATTTCCAATCAATATAGTTATGGAAAGTTCCTAGAATACAAGAGTCTACACATTCATTATTATAAAAGTAGAATCCGGCCTTGCATGCTTTGCAGGTATTATAG